CTGCAAGGAAAGGATCTCAGCTGTGTGTTAATGCTGACAGCTTACACAGACTGACACCTGTAGCTGCTGGCATGTTCTCAAGGATATAGGGAACAAGCCTCCAGTAGTCTATTAACCTTAAAAAACCCTGGTTTGCTACTTCTATATAATTTTCTTATATAAAAATATCTCATTTGTAATTTAACAGACAGACAATAATACAGGAAACTCCTTTCCCCCTATTAGTCCGATAAAGCAAGAGAATAGTGTACAGTATACTGTATAACATATGCATATGTTTTTTCTGAAATAATAGTGTTTCGGGGCTGAAAAAAACAATTTGTGATTTAATGAATATTCAGCAATAATGGACAGCCCTTCTCCCCCATTAATCTTATGAAGTGAAGGCTACTCTATTTAATTCTATATCTCCAGAGACATCTGTGAACATGGAGTGGAATCAAGGTGGTGATATATTGCAACTATGATTAATGTTGGATGGTTGGCCAAAGTTATACTCCAATAGCTTTGTAGGACAGACAAATATTTTGTTTAATTCTTATTACTCATTGACTTCAAAGCACCTCTGTAAAACATAAAAGAATAAGAAACTTGTTAAATCAGTCAATATATTTCCTTTCTTAATTTTATTGTTATCAGTCCCATAACATGAAAGTATGTGATTCTTCAGTCCTTATATGAATAAGTTTAAAGAATTGTGCGATTGGAGAAGTTGTTAGGGTTCTGTATTCACTACCCAATTAAAGGCACTAACACTAATACTGATATATCCATCAATTTTCTAACCGCATCATCCAATACAGGGTTGCGGGGGAGCTGGATCCTATCCCAGTTATCAATGGGCACAAAGCAGGATACATTATGAACAGGACGCCATGGCACATACAGACACAAGCAAGCACACACTCACACCAGGGCCAATTAGCCAATTGACCTACCAGTATGTCTTTGGGCTCTGGGAGAAAACCAGATGTTGTTTTATACTTCAAATGTTATATTCATGTTGCTCTTTACATCCTTGGGTTCCATAATTCACCCCCATTACTCTAGTCACCCTAGGTGTATAAAACATTACTGGAGGCATTAGCCTGAAACAGACAAGTGTCCTGTCCAGAGCGAGCCTTGAGCTCTCAGTTTACATTACACTGCAGTAATAGATCATAGATCTGGACCTATGATCCAGACAGCTCAAGAAGGACACGGGAGTGACTATACCCATACTCGTGTGCTTCAGGATTGGGTAGGACTCTAATGCTTGGATTATGAATAGAATGTGTTTTTCTTAATGTGGGATTTTTGTCTTTTGAAAAACTAAGCAACCTGTACATATAACATCACAGATGTTCATTATCTGATAAGAGTCCACCTCTTCTAAAGGCAAAATAACTCAAGATTGTGCCTTGTTTTCCTCACAACAGAGCTTTGGATATTGTATGAATCAAAATCAAATACATGAAGTAAATAAGAGACCTTGAAAACAACTGTATTTTTTTAAAAGTCCCAATCAAGCCCAATAGTTGTTTTCTTCAAGGGGTAGTGCCCCTGTCACCTATGAAAAATGCTATCTGTTACACTAACATTAAAATAACAAGGGCATTATATTGACATGATTATACAGGTGGGGAGCAAAATGCCGTAAGCTACAATTAAGGTAAATGTGTACTTTTGCCATTACCTACAACATACCATTTTTTAAGTATGTAAGTCAGGAAAAATGATAAACCACATAATAATTAAGTGGTTTCTCCAGAAAAAACAAATGCATACGTTTACAGCAATTTTCTGTGGTTTAAATGACAGGATATCTAGAATTCAGCAAGTTAGAAAATAAAAGTAGCACTTACTACTGGAGGTGATGTATTACTAAATCATCATGTACACAGAACTTCCAAAAGTCATGCATTCCATTTACAAAGCTGCATTTTTCAATTATTTTTTCCAGTTTGTTTCTTACTACTCATTTGTCTGCCACTCCTGTCCATTGCCCTGCTTCCTAAAACAAAAATAGCAGGATTTCAAAACAAAGATACAGGCATAGCTGCAGGGAAAAGTTAAATTTGGTACTAAAGTTACCTTTGAACTGAGACAATTTTGACTACATATTCCACATAACACAGTAAATAACACAGTTTGTACATAGTACAAATGTCCAGAAAAAATAGCTCTTCTGGCAAAAATCTTTAAAGTTAGACACACTTCAGAAATTTGGTGCATTGGAAAACAATATGACTGTCATATTTGATTGTGTTCTCATGGATTCCTACTTTTACCTGCATGATCTCTTCACTTTCAGAAGATGCAGATGTCCTGGTAACCTCTTGACTAGGGTTCAGGTAAAACAAAACATATTATGAAATATGTATACGATACATTACAATTTGGACAAGAACACTGCTGTCCTCTATACTGAGAAATGGATAATTTCTGTGTAGAAATGCAGTAATGTTCCTCTAACAAGCCCTTCATCAGCTTCTGCCTTTCCCTAGTTGTAAGCCTAGGAGAGCTACTGTACACTTGGTGGGTGCTGTCTTCACAACAACAAACTATCATACTACAGTAAACCACTTTTTTTCAATTAACACCACTTCTTGCTAAACCCTAAACTAAAGGCCCATCTCTCCACTCTGGTTTTCAACCCACTTCTTTTTGTCATCTTGTATACACAGTTTGCTCAGGTGAGAATGACTTTAGCCAACAATGATCTTATCTTTGAGGATCAACACAACACATTTTCTTAACAGCACACCAGTGCTGATAAGTTTCAGTAGTGTAAAGAGGGTGAGCAATGCTTTTTTTTGTGTGTGTCATCGCTGTGTTTTTCCTCTTTCCTTTAAATCTTCCTATCTCGCCTTTTTATGTTTCAATTCTTTGTCGGGGTTTCTGGAAGTCTCTCTCAGTTCACTTCACAGCTGGGCACAGAATATAACATTCTCATATTTCACAAAGTCAGCCCAAGTCCTCTTGTTGTGCATCACTGCCTCTCTTAGCCACCTAATTAATCCTTCAGCCCTTATTCTATCTGTAGAAAAGCTTTCTGAAGGGTTCACATTCAGCATGGGGACAACTGAAATTGGGGCAATTTCTTTTTATCCAAAATGTGACATGAACCGACATGCTCAATATGCACAATCCAAATTGCTTCAGTTACAGTGTGTTCAACATTTCTTAAAGCTTTATGTTTAAGATATACAACAATATTTTTCCAGATTCTTCTTTAGAAAGTGTAGCTAAGTATTAAATTACCTATGCTGCAGAGAATGAACACCTTTTAGTGTTAAAAAGTTTATTTCAAATACAAGAGATACAGTATCTGTGAAATATACGTTGCAGTTGAAGACAATACGGACAGGTACAATGTGCGTTAAAAGAAGCTTTGAAAATAAGAAAATATGTAAAAACATTCAGTACAATATATATAGTTTATAAAATACAGAAGATTTTTAGAAATTATTTAAGTATTCAACTTTTATCCTTCTAATATCTTTAAAATCACTAGCTCAAATCACAGTGATATTTATTTTAATAATTCTTTCATTTGTTTTAGAATGAGCGTTTTAATACTTTACAGGAAGGCTAAATAGAATTAAGAAATTATGCATGCAACTTATTAAAAGCACACATTTAAACTGTATAAATCCCATGTATGGAAATACTTCTCTCAAAGACAAAGACATGCTTTTCAATGTTGTGACTGTTAAACACAACCACCTAAAAAGTCGTGTTGTTTATCCATGTTAAAGCCCTCTTTTCAGAGTAAAAGTGACTCATGCATAAAAAAAACTTGCATTCCTGACTGTAACATTTTATCATCACATTTCATTGACAATGCTCCCTTCCGCAAAGCGATTTTTGGATTTCTCCTCATATCTCTAAACCCAACGCCAAAGTCTTATTTAAAACCCATTCACAAGCTGTTAGAAAAGAGATAGTAGTGATACTATACTATTAGTAGTGATGGCACTCCAAACACCACTGTCAAACTGACTCGGAGACACTAGCGGAACACTAGCTATTCGCTGCTAATTTACAGCCATAAAAATGAAGCGAAATATCAAGCCACTAGCTGAAATACAAATACTATACACAAAATGAGAAAACGGCCATTGGTAGATTGGTAGATTTCAAAAACAATTTCCTTTAAAGTTAAAAAAGAAGCGCAGCACTACGTACGGGCTTGTAAAAGTACCAAAATGTACAACAGTCTGAAGTATATACAATGCACGTTACAGCAAGCTGATGAACTTCCTTGCGGTTACAACTGTTTACTGACTGTCTGCAACAAAATAATAGATGGTAAATTTAAAAATATTCTAGCAAAGAAATATAAATGAATTACTAAGACACTGCCAAATAAGGCGTGTGACAGCAGTTTGCAAATAAGTGTACATATGTCAATGAAACAATTTAAATATCGTTTTATTATATATTAAATATTGTGACAAAATAATGTAATGCGTAAAAACAGTACACAATGTTGGGCATTATACTAGTCATTTCATGGAATGATTAGTTTTGCTTTCCTTTAAAAATGAATATTTCCAAGATCATCACACAATTGAGATTAGTAACTAGGAACCTGATATTAGGTTTTATGAGTATGTGAATCTTTGTCTCATTAAACACCAGCAAAGCAGAAATAGGAACACAGTCACTTGTTTTTAAATGTATTTTACCATCAGAACATGATTCACATAAATAGGAACCTTATCGAATGTGTCGATAGATTAATTCTAAATATATTGATAATCCTCATTGACTACGACAAGTTTACTGGTGTAAACAGATCAATTGAGGTTTGCCATCACCTACAGTACTATAGCAGCGTTTTCATTTAATCATAAACTTCGCCTCGCCTCTCCTTGCACTGCTGATAGCAAACATGTTTTCTCTAGCAGAACACTTCTGGTCCACCTGAAAAAGCTTTAATCAAATCAATAACGAATATGCGTTTTAATAAAATGCCGCATGAAATTTGCTAGAAATATGTACATGTTTCCTACCTGGGAACTCTGAAGAACTTTTGGTAAAGTTGCTGAAGATAGTCAAACACGTTATTCCCAACACAAGTGCGTAATTAACAGCCGAGGTAGAAACATATGGGAAAAACATCCTTAAAATTATGATGATCTGTTTCTATCTTTTAGATTTTATTTCACGATCATGTAAAATAATGTACAGCAAAATTTGTGGAGGACTTGTCCCATTTCTACGACCCAAGAATGAGAATCACTTCATCTCACTGAACAGAGGAAACAACATCCACTTCTGAAAGGCGGACTGAAATTTACAAACTCCTGCCTACCTGGAGGAAAGGATTTCAGCGTGGTCCTAGAGCCCTGTAATTTATTATCCTCTATTTTTAATACAATGATTCAGTTAAAAAAAAACAACAGCATGAAAGTAAACTTGGAGTCTCACACCACTATTTTCACATACCGCAGATTTTAAAACCTCCAGCAGCATAACCCATCGTTTTCTTGATATTTAACTGTAAAAATTCAAATGTACGTGGGAAGAAGCTTTGAATCAATTCATAGTAAGAACATTACTAGCGAAAGAGACCACATTTTTTTCACTTGGTTTTAGAATTTAATTTTGAAATAGAAGAGACAGGAAAAAAGGTTTACACCGCGAAAAAAAAAAGTAGCATTTTACATGTCCCCATATAGTTAAATTTGCATGCAGATTCTTTGGTACTGGTGTTCGGCTCCCAGTGAAACAAACTTACAGTACCCATATTCAAACCACTGAGCAGAAGCTAAGGTTGTTGGGGCTCATGTTATGTACATTACTCAGGAAACCTGTAACGACTCGTTTGCCTGTGCTCGAGTACATGAATCAAGAAGCTTTTCTGAACAATTTGTTCCCAATTAAACAGGCCCATCAGGCTTGCCTCCTAGCAACATTCTCCATAGTAGAAGCCTTGGCCAGAGACATAGCCTTTGAGGATGTGTTAGCAGAGCGGAACAATCCTTCAGGGCAGTTTGAGCTGTGTGCCTTACCATAGAAGGATCCCTGGAAGAAGCAGATGGCAAACAGACATCTGAGCAAAACCCAATCACTGACCTAAAATCAGAAATCAATCTGTTAGCGCTATGGACAGCCTAGGCACCTTCAAGCACAAAGTTACAATTTGTACTTATCCTGCAGTCTTTGTCCTTAATCTATTGAAGATCTGAAACTGCAGGTCAGTGTAACATAGGATATATGAGCTATATCTGAATACGGAAAGCAAAATTCATCAACTGAGTTTGTAGCACTTGTCAAACTGAATGTCCATAGAGATCTTTCAGTTCTTGCTTGCCTGAATGAACACAGGATACAGGACTCCACTTCCTTTCAGAGACAGTATGACAGTGTTTCCTGACTGTAGTGAGTTCTCTGGACCATTCAATCGCTTGTGTTGGCCAAGGAAAATAGACAGTTTTTTGGTACAATATGCACAAGACTGAGCATATCTGAAACACTCTACAGGTTAGTTCAACAATCCCAAATGGTTTTCAGAACTGTCTTTTATTTTGTTCAGTTTTTCTCACCTATACTCCCACCTTCCCATTTCAAAACACTGGAAAGTGACTTTAAAAGAATAGGATTCATTTTGTCTCTCAGACTAGGCTAGATCCTGTATCTGTACTATGCTACAGAATATTCTGTCTTCATTTTTTCTGGGGTCAGATGCAAACAAGTCATTTCAAACATCACCTACTGTAGGTCTTGAAATCGGTGTTCCTGAGCTCTGGGATTCCTAGCAGTGTTGGAGAGGACCAAAACCAAACAGAAAAACATCAATGGCACCCATACTGATCCACTCTAGAATATTCATGCTTGCAGACAATAAGGGAGATACGACCTTCCTGTTTTTAACCCAGAAATTTGTCTTCTACTAACAGACATAATGTTCTGGACTCTTTCCTTTTTATGTGTGGTAGATGCTGCAGCTGGCCACATTTCAGTTACATTCATTTTTTCACTTTATTTCACTTTCAGAACTTACACAAACAGCACTTTTACACATGCTACAATAAGCACTTCAATTTGTGCATTCAATGGAGCGGTGTTTATAACACACCAGGAGGGGAACTACTGTAAATGAATCTGAATGGAGAGAAGAAATCAGCATAGAAGCTCTGAGAAGAGAGGGTGTGAGAGTGAGAGGAGAAAAGAGAAGAGACTGGAGATTTTTTTTTTCCTATATGGATATACAGCCATGTTCAAAGTATTTTTTATTAAATTGCAGAATGAACCTGAGGTTAGGCTTCTTGTTAGACTGTCTGTGATTTTTGTGATTCATAGTTGTTGCAACACATTTTGCCAGGCTTCTAACTACTTTGGGGATTAATATGTCTGCCTGACTGTGTAGCTTTCATGTGGAACAAGAAATGTTCAGCAATTAAATAGTCCAGTCCTCACTTAATAAAAACTTGGAACAATTTACCACTTACAGTAACTGGCTTTTTAAATTAAGCAATTTAGATATTCTTTTGAATTAGAACGTGAACACCCCAGGGCTTCCAGGAAGACAGTTAAAAATCACTTGATTGAATAACTTAAAACACTGTGATATACTTTAATCTGAAACTATAATCTGCAACACGCCATTATAAACTGTTATTTATTTTTTAATTTGCTGTTTGTAAATTACCTCCAGGAAGCACATATCCATTTTCTAGCTGATTTCCATTCCATTTAGGGTCAATTTAGGGTCACTAGGGAGTGGGAGCCTATCCCAGCAGGCAACGGGAGCAAGGCGGAAAACACACTGGACCGAATGCCAGTCCATTGCAGGGCACACAGAGGCAGAAACACAGACACACACTCTCACCAGAGACACATTTCCCAGAAGCCAGTAAACCTACCAGTAAGTCTTTGAACTGCAGGAGAAAACAGAGGACAGGTTCAGAAATGAACCTCAAGGTCCTATTGCTGTGAGGCAGCAATGCCAGCCTTTGTGCCACCACACTGCACCCCAGGAAACATATACAGTACCTTCATCCTGTAAACCACAGTCTGGTGGGCTGCAGCAGCTCCATGCATTCCAACAGGTTCAGACACTCACTGCCGTTTGATTTCTGAGTGCTGGTAGATACCGCCTAGTGGTCATAGGGAAATAATCACAATACACACAGTTGAAATCCGACTAACTGTGTTTTGATAACAAAAACAAATTACATGGAAAGAGAAATAAAATCACACATTATTTTGTTTTTATGTTATTTGGGATAGAAATATATAATTTGAGGAAAAATGCGAAACAACAGCATCTCCATGTCTGATCTACAGTACACTACCATGAGCCTTACATGATGTGGGTAAAGAACTATTCTGAAGATTCTTATTTCAATGTGTAAAAATTGTTATAATTCGTAAAAGTACACTACAGCCACTCCCGCTGCTTGCTACTAATCTAGTGAAAGTTCGAAATTGAGGAACTTGTTCGGCAATTTAAATTTCGTTGTGAGCAAGAAACATCATTAGGAAGGAGACCCCTCGTGGTAAAAAGTAGTATGGCAGGCTAAGAAAAATGAATTTATCAAAATGAAGTTCACGGTGTAATTAAAGGCATGGGAATATTACTGAGTACTAAATTAAGCGTGAAAGTACGATTGCTTTAAGATTAAGTTTTTGTCTGCCTAAGGATAAATTGATTAACACTCAGTCGCACTTTATTACAAGGGTCTTGGTGACTTAAAAAAATACATCCCTTTTATTTCTTGAACAAGCAAACTTTCAAGATCATACATTTTAAATAAATGCAGTGCTCATCGTACGTATTGGGATAGTGAAGTCAAACGTGATATTTCTGCTGTATACTCAAGCAATTCAGATTTGAAATGAAAAGAATATGAGGCAAAGGTACACCTTTTATTTCTGTGTATTTCTGCACATATTCTGTATGCTTTAAAGTGGATGCTATTGATGGTAATTCAACTGAGAAAACAATAACCCTAAAATTGTGTCCGAAGCTCACAATTATGTTGGTATAGGGATAGTAAAGATAATTGATGAAAATGATAGCGATCAGTCACTATCACCATTATTGCACTTGGTAAATAAGAATACTCTTTTGAGACACTATTGCCTAAGTTCCTATTTGGAAATTGACATTTTGTTGAATAGATGAACTGTGTTCTTCTCTTTTTTATCCAGGCACATATTTGTGTGCAAACAAAGTCACATTTTTGCTCTTCAAAAGAAATCCACCTCTGCAGTGCATAAGGAAAGATATATTCTCTGGAAGCCAAAATATAAGACATCTATTTTAGGACTAGAGCTAGAATCAACATTAGGATTTGAATTATAGCAAACTCAAAGCTATAGATTTTCATTCAGAGATAATTTGATATTGGTTATTATTAGTTTGATATTAGTTTGAAGTAAACAAAACAGGGTCAGGGCACAGTCCATGAGTCCATTTCCGAAAGATCCATCCTGGGACATGACAAGGTTAAAATCCCCGGGAAGGGGAAAACACGAACACATGGACATGGAGATGCTGGGATTTTGGGGCGAGGTCCTCCACACCCCGGGCTCAGAAGTGGGAAATGTCAGGGATGAGGCCTATGCCCTCAGGCCACGGACGTGGGGCAACCTGGTGCTAGGCAGGCCTCACGACTTCCACATCCTAATGCTGAACCCTGGAGGTGCTGAAAATAAATAGGGAGAAACAACAGGGCACACCTGGAACACATATAAACAATCACAGGGAACTTTTGACAGGAGTAAATGGAGCGCCCTCTAGGGGTGGAATGTAGACCATGACATTATGATTTGATTTTGAGGAGGTGTACAGTACAGTACATGTAGGTGTTAGGTCTTAGGATGAATCAAGTTTTGTACTTTGACTAGTGTGATGATTTCAGATAGGATGGGAATCAAAGGTAGGATAAAGTTTTGAGTTGTGTTCAGATTTAGAAAGCATTTAAAGCCAAGAACAGGAGGCAGTATTCTAAACAAAAGGTTTTGGAATTGTTGACCAAATTACTCAGCTATGTAGATGGAGCCAATACCCTGCCTTCTTTCAGGAAATGGCTGTATGGCATCCGTGGATAAATTAGTTACTAACTACCAAACGAGCTGGATGTACCCGACGGCCTGTTTTGCAGTCTTGCTTATCTTTTTAAAGTTAGAGTTAGGGTTGGGTAAAGGTTACACTTAGGACTGGGAAATACAGGTTCTAATAAGATGTAGAGCTCTACAAGGTACAGTTTGATCTAGTTTGATCTATGAGAGATGCAGATTCAATCACAAAGGCTCACAGGATTAGAGCATACACAGCATCACCGCCTACACAGAAAAGAGCAGGCCTTCTGCTGCAGGAAACCTTTACACTATCCAGGTTTCAAGTGGGTGACATCAGTTCTGTAACTGATGCTCGGGGTCACTTAGCCCTGTTACACAGGCATATGGTATTGAACTAATGTAACAGGCCTGAAATCCGGGAAGTGTAAAACTCTGCTGTGGCAGGGGACCCAGTCTTACAGCTTGGAAGAGTTATCTGCTGTCTAGTGGATGGTGCTGTGTGTCCTAGGAGCCTGTTAGCAACTTGTATCGATTCCTGGGGAGTAGGAAGAGCTGAACTCATCACACCAGGCTTGTGGTTAAAGCCACGAATAGGGATAAACTAGGAGTTAGGCTTAGCATTAGGTTTGGCAATGTTAGACTTACATTGGACTTGGTTTAGTGCAGGAGCTGTGTTTTGGGACAGTGTGAGGTTTAGGGTTGATTCTAAGATTAATGTTAAGCATAGGCGGGGGCATTTAATACGCTTGTAATGCTTTCCCAAGCTGCTGCTCTGCAGGGCAAGTTAGCATTTGGCATGGAAGCCAGCCACTGCTCCCCCCACCTGTCACTCAGCACCAGTTGCCATGGACACCGTTTTGACAGGAGAATTTACTAGTGGGCTGCTCTCACTCTGCTCAGGCCTCCGTTACGGTGTAGTGATCCTGCTCCTTGGTGGAGCTAGCAAGGAGATCGAGAGGTGTAAGCTGAACTCGCTTTCTGGATAAATAACGGATGAGACCTGGGGGAGCAGAGTGCTGTGTGCAGGCGGATGGTTGCTACAACAGACAAGGGACTCATGGAAACAGTGGCGCAGATGATACAGATAGATCGGATGCTGACACAAGTTTGTGGCCGAGGAGGCGAGGGTCAAGAAAAACTGGTGAATCCATAAAAACACAGTCCAAAGTACAAGGAGGAAATCTGGAAGACAAGGTTGAAGCGAGTCAAGGTCTAAGACGACAAAAACACAGTAGAGGTACAAAGCCGAGGGGTGTTCTGAGCTGAGTAGAGTGAGGTAATAAAGCAGAGGTCAGAATTCCAACAAAGCACAGGAGAAAAACAGAGCTAGGGATTAGTGACTACAAAGCCTGAAAGGCGCAGAGACAGAATTCTATACCTAAACCCCAAGTACAGTCAGAGCAGCCCTTATATATCCCTCAACCATCTGAAGTGTTGACGTAGTAAATTGTCTCCAGGTGATTCTGGTCTCCTGTCAAAACAGTGTCCACAGCATCCTAGGGCTGAGTGACAGGTGGGTACAGAAGATAACAGCTGCATGTCCACACCAGCTTGCCCCGCGAACAGGGCAAGTCTGTGATGTTTGAAAAAAGCATTTCCCTGAGAAAACAAGATGTTTTCATGTCTACACGTTCACTTTCAATGGAATAATCTGGTATTTTTCTTATCACATTCTTGGAATTATTATATCCACTAATTATACCAAAGAATTTGTTCCTGGCAACGTTTGTGGCAATCCCTTGGAATTATGGTTTTAATATAGTTTTATAAAAGAATATTAAAACCTAATTTCATGCAATTACCTGTTGTACAATGTCATATATATAATAAACACCCCCTCTGCCAAATGTCAAAAATGTACTTTGATGTTATAAAATTAAGTATATTGTTTGCCTACTGAAAGCAAATGAGTAGAGGCACAGACACATCATTGATGAGGTGTGAACAAAACTTTCTCAAGCTAAATTTGTCCAAGACCCAAGACATGATAATTGACTTCAGGAAACGCCCCCCTACCTCCACCTTAACCTACATCAGAAAATGTGTCAGAAGGCCATTAGTGCTGATCTTCCAGGCCTTTCCATCATCAATTATTCACAAATTTTGTGTAAAGCAAAATCCATCTGTGATGATCCTTCACACCCCTTGTGTAATGAATTCCAATTACTTCCATCAGACTGTAGATACCAACTCCCCAATTCCAAAACCAATACATTTAAGTTCTCATTTATACCTGTAGCCATATCCTTACTTAACACTTGATTTTCTATGCAATATATATGCATGCGTAGGTCTGTTGTTGTCATGTTTTTTTTTCCATCTGTCCATCATCTACTGCTGTAAAAATATATTGCCCTCTCTGGGATAATAAAGACTCTCTCTCTCAAAGGCTTTTGGTTTTTCTTCTACCTGAGCCCTTGAATTGCCTTATTCAGTTCATTATTTACTTAATGTCCTTAACAAGCTGGAGATTCAGAGAGACCTTTAAAGCCTGCCGGGAACCAGTCCTTGACAACCAGAGTTGTGCACCTCTGGACTAAGCAATTAAGAAAGTGGATGATGTATCAACCTTCCCTGCCAAAATGCGTTGGAACGCCTTTCACAGCACACAAAACCGGCGTTCAATATGTCCTTCTTAAGCTTCCTTAGTGCAATGTTTCCCACGTGGTATAGGACAGAAGGTCAGTTCAGTCGCACATTTTAAAATATGGCTGCGTCCATGAGGGAGGGATTTACGGTTTGTTCATTGCAAATATTAAGGAGTTTTGCACGAAACAGAGTTCAACAACGTAAGTTATGATTTATTTGAATTTATTTAGATAGGTTAAATATTATACAGTGATTTTAATTTTCACCTTGTCAAGTCTTAATTTCATTAGGAGCTGGCGATGAGAGATGGACATTCATGATTTACAGAAATGCTTATCTAATACATAATACATGAATATCTAAAATGTTTATAGTTTATATGCGATATGTTTTGAATACCTGTATATTTTGCATATATAAAATAATATTTTGAACATTTACAGTGACTGATTAACTGATTAAGTTTAGTTCGTTTGCGGGTGTCGAGGTTAATCAATGCCTGACACTCAAGTCGTTTAGATGAAAATGTTTCATGTTAACAGTCTCCTCTTAGTAAATTATATATAAACTCTCACAATGTGTGCCAAGGTGTCCTGTCGTCGTCTGCGAGACTTCTGAGTGCGAACAGTGAAGATGGACAACCATCGAAATTCACGCCTCCCCCGAAACCTGTCATTGTGGACAAGACACAAACAGGGGACACGCTCAGACGGTAAACTGAAGAGCCATGTTCCTGAGATGATCAGACAGCAAATGTTTCGTCTTCTTGCGAGAAGAAAAAAAATAGTTAATAATATTTTTTCTAATTTAACTCGTATAACGAAAACTGTTCGTAAGGCGGAAATTCGTAAATCAAATACCTGATTCCCGTTAGACCCCTTGTAAACACATGTATGACCCTCACCTAGAGCATCCTCCAACAGTATCTATACATTAGAATAGGACACCAGCCGGTAATATCACACATTGTTTTGCTTCAGAAAACTCATTAATACCCAGTTAATGGATGGGGATTATTAGGAATCTATAGTAGTTCAGGTGGGTAGCTGTGTCAGCATGCGTAGGCTGCAAAATTATTAGGAATCTATGACTGGCAAAGGCCTAGGGAAAGTTGTCCAGAACATATTAACATATGAACAAACCTAAACAACATATGCAAAGCACTAACAAGCAGTGAAATCATATTAACCAGCCAGATAACTTTAGTAAATATGTTGATAAGAGTCTGGCTTTTCAGTTTCAGAAAGCAAGGTTGAATTGTATCTAGTTATGAAGACCAATAATCATCATCAGCAACATGTCCTCTATTCTTAACCTGCTGTGGGTTAGTTCAAATTCAGCCTGAGTTTGTGATAAAAAGCTTGTCTCACCTGCACCAGTCTCAAGAATCTCAGCCTTATGCACAGTTTCTGTTGTTGCCAAGCTAAGACAAGTAATATTAATAATGTATGGACTTAAGAGACGCTGAATGAAAATTAATGTACAATGTCTTGAAACAGTATCTTTGAAATAAAATATTATCAGTGATAGGTAAAGGGTTTTGGCATTTTCTAAACTCTTTCTTTCTTCAAAGCTCTCTTGACAGTTGCTTCAATGTCAACTGGATCCTTTTAAGAAAGGTGGTGTTATTTTTGCAGGAAACTTTTAAGTAAATGTAAGGGGGACTTACATTTGTATAAAAGAATGAACAATCATCCCTCTTTTCAAGTTTCAGTTTAATTGTTAAATGTGGAAATAAAGAATAAATCTCTTGCCTTCCTAATGTGATGCAGTTTCACAGCATCAACACTAGATTCTTCCATGCTCTTCATCTTTTCCTTTTAAAAAAAAATCACACAAAGTGTTGAAACAGCCAAACTCATAGCAACACAAATGTCTTTTTGATAGCCATCCGCATTACTTATTAATTCGATTTTCTTAGCTTTCTAAGCAACACCCTGAGAGTTTTTCACAGGTTTTGGACCCGTGATGGATATTGATTACACAGATAATGCAGAACAAAATATAATAAAAGAGCATGCGCACACCACAACACAACCAACAGAACGTGAACATGTCTAAACGGGGAAAAAAAATCAAAATAAAAAAAGCTGGGCACGTCTCCCTAGATTGACAGCCCTACCGTGTACTTTTTCACGTATGATCACTTTGCAGGCCAAGAATACATTTCATTCATTGAAGCGAAAATGTTGTTCGTAGGGTGAAAATTAAATACATATTTAGTGGCTTTCGCTGTAGCAAAAATTCAGAAACTGGGGGATGACTGTAAGTTAATCATTGTGTGCTTGTTAGCCATGCGTATAAATTCATCAGTGACAGATGCTTAAAGAAAGTATTTTTTTCTTTTGCTTTCCAGGTTCCTAAGTCCAGAATTCATACCTCCCAGACAGAGAACCAATCCACTCAAATTTGCCTTGGAGCGAAAGGACATGATAGCGAGGCGGAAAGTGCTGAACATTCCAGAATTCTATGCTGGTGAGATTTTTTTTTGCTGAGGGTTGTTTTCAGTGACTTGAATGCACCTGTCAAAACACTGTGTAGTTATGAAGCCTGTATCATTAGCATTTTCATTTAATACATTTTGTGATTAGTGAAGTGACTGTCTTTGGGAAGACTTAATTAAAAAAAATCCCAGTGGATATTAACTGAATTTAAAATGATTTAATTAGTCATTTAGTAGCTCATTCACATTCTGAAATCATTACAAATACAGCAGTGAATGGTTTCTCAAGATTGCATATATGTGCATATTATAAATTAAGAAAATCATTATCATTTTTGTTTCAGGGAGTATTCTTGCTGTAACTATGGCTGACCCTTATGCTAATGGAAAAATTAACCGCTTTGTGGGTATATGTATCCAGAGGTCTGGGAAAGGACTTGGTGCTACGTTTGTCCTCAGGAACATCATTGATGGGCAAGGTGAGGATTTTACCATATCACTGATTAGAAAGAAGAGAGATTATTGACAATCCCAGGAATGGCCTATTGTTTGGATCAGCTAATTAAAATTCAGGCAACATCACCCGTCAGATAAACACCTCAGGGGAGGCATTTAGAGCAACTCTTTCAAAATTAGGTTTACAGCACACAAGCATTCCTGGCATACTAGAAATCCAAAATTGAGAATTATAAGTACCAAACACTTTAAAATCTCTAAATAATAACATTTATTACAGATTACAATAAGAATTTTTAAATGTTTTTTTTTTTTAATGTTGTGTTCCAGATTTCACTTTTATATTTTAATTAATTCGGATCTGGTATTCTGAACTGCATCTCACTACACAAAGTGATAATCCCAGTTAGTGCATTAAACTTCAAATTTAATTTCTTAAAATACATAAATATAGTTAGAATTAAATCCCTCACAGTCTTTTCTTTAGTCTCCTGTATAACATACAGTATACATATGGCATTACTCTTTCTTATTATGTGGTGTTCAGCTTTTACTTTTGGATTGCTGTGTTTGTTTTACAGGTGTTGAGATATGTTATGAAATGTACAACCCCCGAATCCAACAGATTGAGGTGCTGAAATTGGAGAAGCGACTGGATGACAACCTGATGTATCTGCGTGATGCTTTGCCAGAATACAGCACCATTGACTTTAACATGAACCCAGTGTCCCACACTGCAAATGGAGAAGTGCCTGTCAACCCAGTAAGCTCATTGCTTTTACTCAAGCCTGAAGCAGGATGAGACGTGATAGTTTACCACTTCTCAACTTTTCACTTGGGACTTTTCTTTAAGAATATAGCTTTATTGTATACCTACTCAATTTGGAAATGCCATTTGTGTCTGTACATGCTGCAATGCAGAGAATCCCAATCACAGTTGACTGGTAACATGAAGGGAAGTCTGAACCTTTGATGTTTTAACTTTCAGATTAACCTAAGTTTGGAGTGAACAAAGAATAGGCAGGGGATTTTCTTTGTGTCAGTTAATTTACAATCATGATTCTGAAGTCAGGGATATTTTATCCAAAACTGCAGATCTCTTTGCTATGTTTATGCATTGCTTATACCGCTTGTTATGTGTTAAGAATACCACTCTTTTCAAAGTTTTCTTCCACAAAAAACTTAAAAAAGCCCCACTAACTTTAGTTTATACATAATCTTTTGAGACTTTATGGCCAAGCATAAAATCATTAAAGTCATGAATATAAAGGTTACAAACAATGATAAAAAGACATTTGGCTTCTCTGGCCTGATTGGTAATTAGTAGTTAAGTGATCCAAGAATCTCATCCCACTGTTTCTTGAAAAAAGCCAGGATATTGGCTTCAATAAAGTGGCTGTGAAGCTTGTACCACATTCCCACAATCCTTTCTGTAAGCAAATGCCCCCCGTTCTAGGATTTAAATGCATTTTCATGTAGTCTCCACACGGTTTGTGTTTCACTGTTTCTGAAAAATCCACTTGTTTACAACATAGTATTCTTTACAAAAACTCTTACACTATATAATTGTGCACTAAATGTCCCTTGCTTCTGATAGATTATCAAGTCATTGCTTGAAAAGTTGCTTGCAATATATTATTAAACTGTAGTCTTTCTGCTGACACAACCTTTTTAATAATTTCATTTTTTTTCTTTCCACTTCAAAGCTCAAAGTGAAAATGAAGCCCAAGCCGTGGTCCAAGAGATGGGAACGCCCAAAGTACAAGGTCCAAGGAATTCGTTTTGACTTGTGCTTGACTGAAGAGAAAATGGAAGAGGCAAAAAAATGGGATCAGCCCTGGCTGGAGTTTGACATGCTGAGAGATTATGATACCACCAAAATAGAGGAGAAAATCTGGAAGGAAGTTCAGAGAGAAATGAATAAATAAACATTGGTTGTATAAATTCATATGCTGTACTACATGTTGGTGGTTGGCAAAGACTTTTATGAACTCCAATACCAAAGTCTGCTGAACATTGTAGACTGTCATAAACAGCTAACTTACCTTCTGTTGTACATTTCAGAATGGCCATAGGTAATTGTTCCCAAACATTTTTCTCTTGTAGATCATTAAACATTACAGTGGCCTTTCGTGTTTATAAGTAACCATTCACATGTGTTTTTGTATATATGCAAATAAACTATTACTGCTCATGTTCATTTGAAAAGTTAAAATTAACTTTAAAAACCTGAAACACTTTAACAAAAACATTTATAATCAAACAAATGCTTTGGTTATACTGTATGTACATAGACTAAATGGTAACTGGAAGGAAGAAATGAGGATCAACAGGTAAAAGTGTTTTAAAACACTTTTCTTCTTCTGATGGACTTTTGGTAGTTATGAAACATTTTGTTCATGGGATAAACAATAGTATGAATTTGAGGAAGTGCAATGGTATTTTTACTGTATTTTAATAGTAATTAATTTAAAAAAAAATAAAAAACAATGTACCATGGCTATCCAGGAACTGGGAAGAACAAAAAAGTATGCGCTGATCCAATGACAACACTTGATTGACATCAAGTATTCTACAGATCTGTCTGCTTAATACCGATGAACTAAAAAAGCATAGCTCACTTTGAGGAAATAATAAACAACCCATTCTTACTAGGCCACCCAGTATCGCAACCCTAAACAAATCCACTCCAGCACCTGTTAGCTGATAAGAGTGAGGGAGCTCAATCCCTGATCCTGAAATGTAGACCAATTAAAAAAATGGTGGTTGTTGTAGAGTTTGTTCCAGAACAATGCAACACAGATGTGCAGCAGGAATTACAAGACAACCATATGCAGTCTTCCTGGAGTTAAGGTAGCTGATACTGTCCTTAAGGTCAGCATGGACAGTCAAATCTAGTTATCCATGTCGGTACGGATGACATCAATATAAACAACACATTTTCAAGATGTAAGAAATTCAAATACATTGGAAGCAAACAAGAACAGACCCAAATTGGTCTTCTCGGGAATTATAGTACCATTTAAGACAGGTGTAAAACCCAGTGACTGGGATTGCTAATGTAGTGACCATCTGAAAACAAAGAAACAGTTACAGAACAATAAGTCTGATTTCTGTTAAATGTAAGGTAATGGAAACAGAAACAGAATGTATTTGGAAATTTAATCCTAGGGAAATATGAACAAATCTTGCTTAACATTGTGATCTTTGATCAAGCAAAAACAGTAACATGCGCAAAGAAACTGTTACAGATTTTCAGAAGGCTTTTGATAAAAGTTCCTCATAAAAGATTAAAGAAATTCTCAAATCTCAAAAGAGTAGGCTTTTGTGGTAACATCTGCATTTGTGTTAAGAATTGGTTAGAAATAAAGTTTTCCTATTCAGGAAGTGGATATAAAACGAGAGGTCAATTCTCATGATGTAATTAGTGTAATCTAAACCCCTGTGGTACTGCACTGCTTTTCCTAATATAAATCATATAGATTCTTAAAGTAATACGGGAAAAACACTGTAGAAACAGAAAATGAAAACCAAACAGATTTAGATAAAATTCAAGACAGGTCAAACACGATGATGCATGCAGAGAGTAAAAATAAACTATACATATAAAATGTTGATATTTAAGATGCCACTCAGGTCTTTATATTGACACATTTGCATATTTTAGACTCAAAAATAAAACTAAACAAATTGTTAGGATAGTAAAAAACATTGTATAGTACCCACATCAAAGAATGTTAAAATGGCAAAGTAAAATGGTAAATTCGTATTTAAAATAGTGTACAAATACACCAACATAATTTGATTAAAATACTGTGTATATTAAGAGTGGCAACATCACTGAAAATATTGCTTTTCTCTGGACTGGATTCCAAAGCAGCAACCACATACATTCCAGGGCTAATAGGAATGTGCTACACATTCCTTGTAGGACAGGCTGAACAAACTGAACCTTTTAAGTACTGAACAGAGAAGACTCTGAGTGAACCAGGTCCAAGTATTCAAAATCCTCAAGGGCATTAACAAAGTCAACCCTGTGAACTTCGTTAGCATCAGCAGTGAAACATGATCCAGAGCTCACAAGTGGAAACTATGTGGAAACACATTTACATCTTGGAACAGGAGGCACTTTGTTACACAAAGGGTTGTGGGAGTATGAAACAAGCCGCCCAGTCATGTTGTTCCATCTGAAACTCTGGCCGTTGAGAAAAGGCTGGATCAGATCCCTAGATCAATTATTTATTAATAATCACGCTAGTTGGACTGAATGGTTTCCTCTCCTCTCATTTTAAACCTTTTTTGTATTCTTTCAGGGGTTGCATGATTGAATCGAGGAACAGGTAAAGGTTCACTTCATGCTGAAAGCTAAAGAGAAGAAACAGTGTTTGGCAGCGGAGCCTTCTTCAGGTGTCAGAATGTGTCGGTTACCTTTCAGCGTGGAAATGATCTTTACCTGTTCTTTTGCAGGCTACTCATAATGACATAGCTACCACCTCGAAATTGATTGAATAAAGCTTGTGTACTGCAGTCAGTTCATATAAACACAAAGAAATCCATTTTTACCCTCGTTTCATGCTGCCCATCTCGGAATTTTATTAAACAACAGAGTCTTAGGAGCACAATAAGGCCTTTTTATAGGAGCATCTAAAAATACTACAAAATTTTAATTTACAAATTTGAATCAGTATATTACACTGTCATCTTGGTACAAAAATCACAGCTGAAATTATTTTTTTTAAAAACCCTGAAAGGATGAGCATATCTCCCATTTAATGTATGTTGAGAGAGGTTTTCAGGTCTTCATACTGATACTGTTCAATAATAGCTGCCACATGGTCCAATGCATTGATACTTCTCAGAAGAATCAAAATATTGACAACAATATCCCTACAAGACAAAAGATGGATATTATCAAACATTAAAGCCTGTGCCAAAATACATACTCAGTAACTTAAACTAAAAATGCAACAAAGTAATCTTTTCATCTTAAAGACATTGGGTACCTGATTTTATCATCACCGGGATTGCTTTTACACAGTGAATGTACGATCTGAAGTAAATGATTACTGAAGTTTTTGAGTTGAGAAATAGAGGACCTGGCTTCTGCATCTTCAAACCAGCTTCTTGGAAAGCATGCAGCTACCTTATTTTAAAGGAACAGCAAAAAATAAAGAATAAATCATTTGCCATAGACCTTTTTAAAAATTCAAAGCTATAAATATATTCAGGTATATGGAAAGTACAATATTTAATTAAATACTGTGCCTACAACTGAATGAGGAAATGAACATTTCAGGTACTAAATCAAAATAATCCACATTAAATCTAAACACCACTGAGTTAGACTACAGTGATTCAAAAAAATCTAATTTTCTATTTCAACATATGGTAGTAAGGTAGGTAATATTGGTATTTTTCCCTTCTTTTAGGAAACAGACATGGATATTTTTACTAAGTATCAGGAGTTTATTGAAAATGAGAACCTTAATGGTTGGTATGCAGATATGCTTACAATATGCACCTTTCTAGACATTCCCGCCACCTTTTTTCCAGATTTTTCTCAAGATCCTAACTATCCTGTTATCAAGATTGCCTACTTAGTGTAATGGTTCACTAGTTATCTACACATACTGTATAAATCAATTTTATATTTACTCAAATAAGGCACGCCTTGCAAAGATATATACAATTTTAAAAGGAACAATTTTTTAAAGAAAATACCTTTTTGCATTTCTCCACATTCTCTGCGTCAGGTAATGTGTTCATTAAAGTTATCATAATGTAGCGGTTTAAAACTCTGTCTAAACTCAATTCTTTTATAGTATCTTCTGGAACCAAGCCATCCCACAGCATAATGTTACCTAGAAGCTAAATCAAAATACAGGAAAAGGAATCTCAGAATGGCATATCTAACATAAATGTAAGGACTGTACAGCCATTAAGGTCAGATATGATGTATTCATTATCACAATTTTCAGTTAACCTTATGCTACAAAGTTGTACTTTAGAGGGACATTTCTGTAATTTACTACAATTTCAAGTCAGAAATGAAAATGAAATGTTTGTGAGAGTTTAAAGAAACAAATGATCACATTCCATGAAATTCATGGTGTAGCCTTTGAAGGGGTCTGCATAGCAGCATCCATATTCCCAGCGTTTCCACTCTTTGGGTGGAAAAAACTAAGTACCATTCTACAAATTAAACAATTTTGTCTGATATGAGGGTGTATCCCCATACATAATCCCATTTAGAGCACAGTCTCTCAATATATATCTTTAACTTAGGAGTTTAAAAAAAATGAGAACAGGCTTAAGATAAGTATTGGCTTACAACTGACTGCAATGTGGTTTCTTACCCTGACTGCCGACCAGAATTGTTTATCCTGAAACCTACGCTGTGGGGAACACCTGTCGTCAACATATCTGTTTTATAAAAGAAAAGAAAACAAAGACTATATTTACTGGGCAGTTATGCAAGAAAATAGTCTATAAATGCTTAAGGTACAGTAAATCACAACAGCTTCAACAAGCTGTATTAGCCATCTGTAAGCTGGAAGTCCTTCAGATGAAAAAGCATTAGTGTTACTAACAAATTCAATAATTGTACTGATTGTACAATATTGTTGCCTGTTAAGTTTTTCAAGGCTCTGTTTGAAAAAATCACAAAACATGCACTATTGATAGAAGTCAAAGAATATTATTAAGTAATAATAATGATGATACATCGATAATATAAATAGAAAAAACAAGCGACATCATTCAGATTTTTGTCTGAAAAAAAAAATCTACTTACTTTTTTGGATAAATAGGAATGAATACATCTTCATCAACTGAACTTCTCATTCTCAGGACAACAGCATTTACAAAAGCCTAACAAGAAAAAAACAATTACAGGTGAAAGATTATCTGAAAAGAGCCAAAAAATAACCTTTAAGGAAACATTGGTAGCCTAACAATGCAATACATGTATAAAAAGGGATTACCATATATTATATAAGCTTAATTTGGTCCTCAAACCTGCCTGTAAGGTGGGAACTTACAATGGAAATTAAACTCACATTGCTTCCCGTGTTATAATCCTCAATTGGTACAAGAACTAAAAAAGTTTGGGTATTTGACTAAACTTTGTCTTAATATATTCTTTGTAATAATTTGAACAACACGCTTATAGTCACTAGCCATTGCATAAACATGCTCATTTATGGTACAGTAGTTACATCGTAGAGTCTTAGCAAACGCATAAATATTAGTTAATATCCTGAACTGTATGCACAACACACACTGTATGCACAACCTTTATTTAAAAAATAAAAGTCCTAATCTGAGAAGATGTGGAAAAAGAATAACCTTGGCATTGCCCGGCTCTTAAGAGTGAAACTTTGCTTGTTAAATTAAAAAAAAAGAGTAGGAATTATTACATCTAGTATAAATGAAAACTCATATAGCAGTGGCTCATACACCTGTGGTTTACTGTACTTCACTATAGTATAACCAGTACAGAGTTTTGAGACCCTTGTCTTTTGCTGTTGTGTAATGTCTTATGTTCAGTTTTTGTGTTAAGACTGTTTACTCCAGAAAACTATTTTATTATGTTAAAATATTTGCAATTCCTGTCACAAGCTAATGTAAGGTCTTAAAAACATTAAGAATTCCAGAGAAAAGCAATTTTGTGAATTTACATTTCAGTGAACACATTTTTATACTGGTAGGATGGTGTATTAAAACTTTAAAATACATATGTTTCAGCAAATAAAAATAACTAATTCAATTTTTTTCTTTCCACAATCTCACTGATTTCTTCAGATCGGTGATGATACCTTCCCAAACTGACTGTACCTGCCTAGGGAAATGTATTTCAAATCTTAATTCAACACTTTGGCTACGATCCAAACCTAACCTGGATAGATTTTATTTAAAAAAACCAACAACTTCACTTACTGATGTGGCTTTATCTGGTGAGTGATTGTGAATTGTCTTTTTCTACTTAATCAGAAGTTTACCCAGAAAATCAAGCACATTAATGACAAGATTAGATTTGTGGAAACAAAGTTAAATTTACCTTTTTAGTTTTGCTCTGCTCACTGTTAAACACTGAATAACCATCTTGTAATTCCTCACAATGTTTCACAAGACACTTTGTTTGTTTCGATGACAAAGGATCCCAGACCTGTTCCACAAATCCTACAACGAAACATGGGTTTGGATACGTTATGTATTTTCTAGGATGTCTTCATGGTGTTCATACCTATCTAACATACTAAATATTCTTCTCACTCTCCTTGCAAAGACAGGAGCTAACCTTGAATTTGGGGCAAGACTGTTTTCTCTAAGATGGATGGCAGAGTTTTAATGTCAGCAGCTTCAGATTCTTCATATCCATGACCATGACAGAACGTTTCCACAGCTGAGTACCAAGGAAATGCTTCAAAATCCTTCCCATCATCCTGAAAAATACATCCATTAAGATTGATTAACTGATTTAAAACTGACCTTCTCGATTGTTTTCACTTTTAACTACACAGAGAAACAATTAGAAATACAAGATGTGAAACAGGGCTCAAAATTGTATCTCCAAATAGCTTTAAACTTTTGTTTTGGGATGTTAACAGCTAAGGTAAACTTGAAGAGAAAACACACTATAGACTTTTAATCTTTTGTTTCTTCTTATTAGTCAACATATAAAATTAAAAAATCATAATAAGATGGCACCTACACATAAACTGAGATTTAATGATTTAGGTTTAAATCATTAAATTTGGGATGCCATTATTCAAAATTATACAGTATTAAAATATATTAGAACTTATTTAAAACCATCGTTTTTACAATGAAAAGTATCCATTTCTCCTCGCTGAAATTTTTTTCAGGACTGTTTAAAAGACTGAACTGCAGTGCTGTTTTTTACAGATATAAAATTAAATACAGTAAGTGAATTAAGCAGAGACTTTAGAAGACATGATATTTGTGCTGTTGCAAAAAAACAGAAAACAAAATACTCTCATGGTAAAGGCAAATACCTTGAGGGGATTCCATCCAATGAGTTGATGTCTGACTAAGGGACCCAAGAGTTTTGGTAAACAGAGTCCGATATAAGCACTATAGTACGAGTCAGGAAATCTGCGTCTCCACTCATCAAATTTAGAAAGTATTTTTTTAACATCACAGAAGTTTTCTTGTACATCATCAAAGATCTTCTGATGCCTGTCTAGTATGTCATCTGTGGAAAAAAAAGAGTAAATGATAAGTAACCTTGAACATATTTTATCATTTTTGGAGGTGCTGTCACACTGAACATTAAAGATGTCATCTACTCAATCAACCAATTCCACAGGAACAAACATCCTGCAAAATAAATGTAACTTAGTATGCAAATTCTATGTTATCTGGTACATATTGCAGTTCAAAGATGAATAGTTTTTCTATGTTGCGAATTCTGATTTGAATTTGTGTCCAGATATACAGGTCTTGCTCATCATTATCTATTACAATCTTGCATTTAAAGTGGGTTTAAAATAAATTTGTCCATACTTCACATACATGAATGACTTGCCAGAACTAACATAACTGAGCCTCTATTAGCGAATACAGAAAGGCATGGCAGAAAAAAAATGTAAACAAATTTACTGTCTTATTGTGTGTTACTGGTTATACCTAATTTGTCATAACATTGATCTATCGTCACACAAAGAAAGCACTTTACAAAATTATTAAAAAACAACAGGATACAATTAACCTCTGGTCCTCACATTAAGCACGGTTTGTATCAGCCTTTGAGTTCCAACATGTTTGTCAGAGCTGTGCGTTTCCCAGTAACTTGTGTGGAGTCTGTGCGCCATTCTGACTAGCCAGGTTTTATTTTGAAACCGTTTCTGGGACAAACGAGTACGAAAGAAAACCAGTAGGAGACAGAATAAAATATGTAACAAGCAGAAAATTCAACCTATCATTTGAGGTTCATAGTAGTTCTTTATTTGTAAAAGGCTATCCAGATGCAAAAGCAGCATTTCATTCATACCTTTTCTTTTGGCAAAGTGTGCCTCAAATTCAGGCTGCGTTTCAGCAGGTGTTTCATCATCACTTGAGAGCCTGTCACAATGAACGCCTTCAGTGCCACGACTCTCCCTGCTGCGACTTCCGACGTCACCTTCAGTACTAGACACGGGTATTTCATCAAGCGATACAAATAACCTCCTTTCTACATTTTCCTTATTTAAACAATTTTTAAAACAGTTGACTGTTTGGGGGTTTGGCTGATTGCTATGAATGTATTAATTCCCATCTAAGCATTCACAATTGGTCAATGACTGCCAAAATACCCGCAGCAAAAGTTACTGGCAGGTGCAAATAAAATACCTATATAAAAATTACCTCTAAATTACATATAAAATTTTGTATAGTCTTATCTAGATGTTGACATAACAGATAATTCATATGAATGCAACTACTAAAAAGGAAGCAACGCGACTACGAAATGATTAGAGGAAATAGGAAAATTAGAATTATGGTCAGTTGAGTAAAATAGTTTTTCTACATACTGGAATGTGTCGGACTAAACAAACTAAACTAAAAAAAAATCTGTATGGATACAATTACAATAACTTCATATAGTTCAAATTCCTTCAGAAACCTTTCCTTCAACAAAGGTTATAACTAAAATCTATTTCCTAAGAGCAAATTTCATTTAAAAGCAAACTGTTACACTGGAGGGACTTGAAAAGGCAGCAAATTCTACCTGTTTTTCTTTTCCTCCACAGAGCATCCCTTTCCGTCTCCAATGTTATTACTTTCGGTACTGGATGAGTCTGTTTCGTCTTTAAAACAATGGAGAACAATCTTAAATTGCTTATCTTCCATGGCTTTTAGACAAACTAACAGGTTACAGAAGTGAGAACATTCTGACCTCACTTAATTATTTAATTCGGTTCTCTTTCAATGTTCACCTCTTTACTGAACTCAATTTCTAAACCGATTAAAGATAGAAATTCGAGTGGTCAGGCTTTATCTCTAACACCTCACCTACATCTACATAAAAATACGCATGTATTTCAGGGGCATTTTTGAGTAGAGCAATATTAATGATATTGCCAAGACATGACATATTTTGTAATACAACAAATCTGTTGAATACTTACAACCTATCCTAAAAATGTCACATAGTAAAATATGTATGTTTTACAATTAGTATTATTTACAATTATACTACTCGGCTCTGTTTTAAAAAAAAGTTTAATTGTAAAAAAAAAAATACTATTTACAGAGCTGAGCTTTTGGTTTGGATTAACTGTACTTTTTTTTACAATAGAGGTTGTATATCACTTTTCAGGAGAATAAAAAAGTAAAATGAAACACAATGGCCATTCTTTCAAACTTAGTTATATGTCCAAACTCACAAGTGAGATTGTGGATGTGTGACGATTCCTCTCTGATTTTCTCACGCCTGTGATTTAACAGAGATTCAGCCTGTTCCTTCAGTAAAAAATGCATCGCCGACTCCACTTCATTAATAAGAAGGACCTTGTAGAAAATAATAATTGAAATGAATAATATTTACCTTAGCAATTTAACCTAGAATTGTTTCAGGTGCTAAAATACAACAATTGAGACATCAAACTGTGAAACTGGGTATAGTGTTAACAGGAAACACAATTTTGAAGAAAGACAATTTGTTTATCAATCAATGTTAATAGTTCATTTTTCATTGTATGGCCACAATAACTTTAATAAACTCCATTATAATGAAACAGACATTTCTAAATCCTCTAAAAAAGTAAGAGATTTATTTATATCTGTAACTTTACTATATTGTATACTATTCACTTTCATGGCATTTGTTTTTGTTCTCTTAGTCTTATTGTTCTTTAATATATGCTGCTGTGTGCAGTTTGTTGAAAATGATCAAAAACAGGTACAACTGTCAATAAACTACTAATGGCACCTTTTCAGTAAGGCAGTCCACCAGGTTTTGGACATAGATCTTCATTTCTTTATAGAATTTGTAACGCTGGTCTGTGGAGGCACCTTCCAGCTGCTCGACTGAAGTCTTGGCACTTTCAATGTCCATCTGGATTCTCTTCTGTTCCTGCTCATGTGCACGATGCACCTCTCTCAGGGAGTCTAACCTACCCCAAAATGTAATGTTTCAATTAGAACTGAATTACATCATCACTCCGCACACCTCTTGAGAAAATTTCTACTAATATTTAGAAAGCATTAAGAAGAAGTATTATTATTTATGCATGTTATGCCTCATGATGTAACTGTGACATGCTCAAGTGACTGAATGTTGCCTCAACACAAAATCGCTTCATTAATGAGTATTGACTGGGTACAGGTGATGCTATTTGACCGTCTAAATACTTAGCCTGGTAAAAATCAAACATGAAATCACATTTTAGGAACAATATTCACAGATTAAGCGAACAACTACTTTATGCTACCAATATGCTAGAGCAATACTTCAGGTGGCTTGCAGAGAATTAATGTTTTTTATAGATCGCACCCCAATAGACAACATTAGATGCACTACTTTTTGTGTAAACAATGTTTGTTTCTCAGCATATTATTGTCAATGTTATCTAAAAATGAAAATGCATGTTTTACATTCTGCTAATGAACACCTGCTGGAGCACTGAAATGCAGCAGATGATAAAAACATATACCCATAAATAAATTTGTATTACTTACTTTCCAGTTAATCTCTTCTTTATAATATCAAAATTGACTACTGGCAGGGACACTGGAAAATCTAACTTCACTTTAACATCCTTTACAGGCTCACGGGAAATCTCACCATCCGGGTTCTAAATATAAAGAAATTTCAACCTAGTGGTTACTTTTTCCCTGCAATGCATTTCAATAAATTTCAACATAATACAACAACAGTGCCTTGAAAATGTATTCACCTCCTGGAAGTAATACATTCTGAAGAATAAAGAAAAACCATTAGGAAAAAGAAAGTGCTTTATGAAATGATAAAAATCAACAGTATCCCAATATAGAAAAGGAGTACTGAAACTGAACTGCAAGCACCATTTAAAAAGTAATAATGCAATGTAGGCTAAAATGTTATTTCACTACTACATCAGTTAAAGAATCATTCAGGATGAGGTCAAACGTATCTGTAACAAGTGATAAACAACTAGACGTTGAAAGGGAAATTGCAGATGTACCAGGTGTATTTCTCTCAGGTGTTCACTAAGGAGAGTGTCAACAACATGCCTCAGGCAGCAGGATGGTGTTCTTTATTAAACAGTTTTTGTGTAGAAGAAGCAACAGTGTTTCAGCTACCAGACGGACTCAAGAATAAATAATCTCCAGGGTCTGAGAGCATCTTACCAACTGTACTCAAGGGAATAAAAGAAGCCACTCAGACATCATTGATGCCACTCTTCCATGTACCCATGGACTCGAGAACAGCTATTGAAGCTCTCATCCACATGAAGGACAACAAAACTGACCCACATGATTATAGACCAATAAGTCTGACCTGTTACATGCAAGGCTACAGAAACAATTGGTAGAAAAAAACTAGAGGTTGGACCGTATAGAAATAACACCCTAGGAGATAGCCAACAAATGTAGAAATGGTAGTTCCTAAATAAAGTATTAAATATTAAATATACTTTAAGTAGGCAACACCAGTAATCAATACACACAGAGCATAAAATATGTTTAGGCTTCCAGAAGGCCTTAGATAAAGTTAATCATTTATGGGGAATTCTTAATTTATATGTTTTATTCAACAAAGGAGGCCAATCAGCCCATCTAACTCATCTGACACTTAGTAATGAATCGATCCAAGGATGCTCTTGTCCGAGCACAAAATCTTCTACCATAATGTCCACCTACCTCAGATTATAAATGTATTTTGCCACACACCCAAACAGAACACCTCTGTACAGGGTTCAGGCACTGCTGATACATGAACAGTGACTCCCATCACAGAGATACTATTTTGCAGATATTTCAAAGTTACTAATGACATCACAGGTCTTACTAACCCTTCACTTAACATCTTGTGTTTGCTGTTGCTGAAGAAATGTACAGGACGCTTATGCTACAACAGGATGGATGAAATAACAGTAAGATGCCATGGAAGCAAAAGTTATTAAGAGCTTTAATTATAATCTGCACTATAGTCATTTGAAAAGTTAAATTCAGAGCTTTAAAATATTAACGGCACAAAGACAAAAGCAAGACAGAAGGGAGTCCCACCTGAGGTCTCTTCACTCCTTTTCCAATTTGCTGTTCCACCCACAGATTCTGATCCTCATCTTGGCCATTTGATCTTTCATCCTCACTACCGCTCTCACCTGTGATTTTCCCAAGGAAAAGTGTGTAAGGCATAGAACATGACAAGACAGCCAGGTCTTTCCAAAAGCTACATTTTTTCAAAATACAGTAAAAACATCCAGGGAACAGGGGGAAGGTTAAGTGCGTGGAAAGTCTAAATAACAGCTTCCCTGTAAAACATTGCTTGTAAATCACAACATGCATTTTATTACTGCAGCATTGCAATGGACTCTACACACCTAGTTCCCCCAGACAATCTGATCTGCACAGTGTATTTTGCTGCTAATTTCTGTTCATTTTGACAAATGTGAAAACTGATGACATCAGAATGCCGATAAACCAAGGAGACTAGGGTCCACATAAAACAGCGGTCTAGTTCAACAGAGGATCAAACGTCATTACCCTTTAAGTTTGCGCAATGTAAAAAACAAACAAGTTTTCACTTTCCAATACCCTCCTGAGAAACAAATTAAGGACTTGGTCTGATGTACCCACTGTCCAATGCGCAAATAAAAATTAACAAAAAAACAATGTTGTGACAGTTGAGTCAGAGCTGGGAAATTAAACCGGGTTTGCTGGGACACTAGCTTATCACCAAACCTCCAAAATCTCACGATTCTATAAACGGCCATTCACCTTATAGCTTTAATCCTGTTAGAATAACGGTACTCACACATCAATTTTTATCATTTAGAACTTCGCCAGATTTGTGAAAGTTTACTATACAGCCTCACTCACTCATCTTTTCAGCTATTCTCTGTCTCAGGGTCTTCGGTTTAGGTGCAAATGGAATTCTCCGCTGGTGGTCATCGGGTTCATCATCGCTGTCTTCCTCCTCTTCATCTTTTAACACTGGACTGCTCCCGTGTCTCGTGGCCAGAGGAATATAGTCCTGCCGTGCTCTAGCCAGTTTACGTTGCCTTCTTGCAGCCTCAATTTGTAGAGCATCAGGGATATCACCTGCGCTGATCAAAGTTTTACACCGTGTGTAAAAATAAACTACACCCAAAAGCCAGCAGCTGAAAGACTACATGCAAATTACAGAAACTTTAGAACACATTACACCTATTAAGTTCTTCATAAGCCGTTGATTTAGGAGATTCATCTAACTTGCTATATACATACAAGGTGTCAAAAGCCCCCACTGCAATCTCACATATGGATGTCTGAGAAAGGAGTTCAAGAAACCAACACTTTTTTGGTTTTTGGTTTTATGCCTCAGTATTTGTCTAGCCACAGTGCAGGTAGGCATTCGCTTTCCGAGTTAAGTTCAGTCTGGTCTGTAAACTTTTTTTTATAAACTAGCTTCAGAAAGACGAAGCATTGAAATACACGCCTCTAAACCTCCATGGAATATTATCCTGGACACTTGTCGAAAACACTTTTCCGGAATGGAAATTTTAGATGACAACGATAGAGCAATACTGAAGACCAATTCATCACTTACTTTCTAAAAGATTATAAGAATGAGGAAAAAATGCTCAAAATTTCTGAGAAACCTCCAACAAACCTGGATCAGACACTGAAGAGCTGGAAGAACTAGATTTTTGGGAGCTTGTATCATCGTTGCTTCCATCCTGAATTTTTTCACCTTCGGGTTTATCGTCCCCACAGTCACTCTGTGAAACAGGACCCTTGGGGCCTATAAAACACAAGCAGGAACTGTCAAACTCACATCTTTTAATTTTGAAGAAGCAATCTTAACCCCCATTCCATTCCAAAAAAAAACATTTACAGAACTAATGTTAAGTCAGTTACTTAGAAATAAAAACATTACTTGCACAGGGGACCATATAATTCTCTGTTTTGCTCATTCTTGATGCCAGTTCTTTACCAATCAACTACAGAGCAATTAATCAATAGTGATTTCATTTTGCCTCAGTATAACATGCTCAGTAGTATGACTGTAACATAATTTCACCTATTTCCCCATCTTGCCTTTCGCTAATGTTAATAATAAAATGTGAAACTTAATTTTCAGTGAAGAGCTTTGCTTCTCTTGAGATGTTTTTTTCCCCCTAACTGAGTGAGGTTTGTTTAGTTTTGAATGCTCCAAGAGTATTCAGTCCAATTCAGAGTTTGTTTAAATGGCATTCAGCTGAGCTCATCTTATGGCCTGTTTTGAGTAGTGATTGTTTTTGCACTCGGTAAAGTGCAGTTTATATGGAGAACAGCATGAAAACCAAATGTCAATTGGGAAATAAATCAAACTGCAACAGAATAACAGAAAAATTCATTAAGACCATGCCAAAACTATTTTACACATACAAATATCTACTATATTTATGGTATATTTACTATTTGTTTCTCAGGGGTTGAAAGACAAAGGGTTGCAAAAGCTGCAAACAGTGCAGAGTCTATTTAAAAAAGATGAGCCAGATGAATTTCAAAATCAAAGACATAAAATAAGGCCACTGAACATAAAAAGGTTATTAACAGAAAAAGAGGCAGTTTGGCCTACATAGCCCACTGGGTGACTAGTAGCTAAGTGACCTGAGGATCTCATCCAGCCATTTCTTGAAAGAAGCCATGTTGAAGAAACCCGCTTCAACAACATGGCTGAGTAGTTTGTAACAGAATGCCAAACAAAACGCAATGAAACTCATTTCCAGTTAGAATGCACTAACTCTGGTCCAGCAACACCTCTTTGAACAGCAAACAGGTTTTTCTTGGAGGTCTCCCATTTCCAGGATTAACCAAGGCCAGACTACTCAAATCATGTTGGCTTCTAGACTTCTCCATTCAAGACTACGGAAAAAAAAATAATTTTGCATCTAACACAATGAACAAATTACTACACATTATTATTGCAGTGTAGTCACAAGCGAACCAATTCCCCCTAAAAATAAGGATGTTAACCAAGAAAACAAACCTCAGACCACTTTCACACAAACTCAGTTAAGGTATGTGAAGTGTGAATCTTCCCTGGATTCAACCACACTTGGGAGGGTCTGCACATTGCCGGTGGTGGAGATGAGTTATCATTACCTGTAAAGTGTCTGGAAAAGCGCTATATAAAATGTAACAAATTATTTCTTTTTTACCACAGTTGAACTGTACCACCCCATAAAAAGTAGCAAACTTTGCTCGAATCCAAAGACCAGGTTTTCTATCACCCCAGATTTCTACAATGATGAACGTTTCAAGAAACGATTACATCATTTCAGGAAAATACACAGTGCCACCGAGCCCTGTTACGTCGAACAGCTAACATACACATCCGTTGTTATGAAACCATAAGAACGCAGTTGGCAATTTACCTTGTGAATTAAAAGCGGGAGGATTGATCTCTTTTGTTCGCGCTTTGAAAACGACGGCCTTGTCAACAGGCTTTTTAACCTTGAAGTCATCTTCGTCCACTGAAATGAAAATACACCAGCGGGTTAGGAAAAAAAAAACGTGCACATTAATTGAATGCAAAGAACAGAAACGAAAAACAACAAAACAATGTCAATAGCAGGCTTTTGATGACATTTTCTACAATGCAATTATAGATCAGAATGGAACATACGTTATATTTGAGTCCCTTTTTTGGCTGCATGGTTCAATAATGACTCCAGCACAGGTCTGAGCTCTAGGCATGATCAGCGATGACCCTCCCTACTGTGTCTTGGCTTAAACAGATATTCTTCGTTTCTGCTTCACCTGGGTTATGCTCGCGATACAGCGACAGCCCGCTAAAATATCAATTCTGTGAAGAGATCCCATGCATGTCATTTGCATCTCCAGAATCTACTGCAGGTTGTCTCCGTGCATGTACCACATCAGATTCACGCAGAAATATAAATACCGGGGCGTACCTTGTTTTTCATCACCGAAACTCAATAGAGTGATTTTATTTTTCGTCAGTTTCTTCTCAGCAGCGTCTTCCGCAGCCGTATCTTCGCTTACATTTTCTGTGTGCGGATTTTGTCCGGCGACTGAATCCGGCCTGGAGCTCCCGGACTCCCGCTTAGACGTGCAGGAAATCCCCCGGCTCTGCGGATGCTTCAGTAACCGGGGAGCAACCGAGACCTTCACCTCGTCAGTGGCTTCTCCCTGCTCTTCTTGTGAAGGCTCATCTTCTCCGCTCGAATCTCCTTTCCTCCTCCTGAAGTTTCTCTTTGGTTTCTTACCGAACATATTCAGGTGGGAACTGCAATAATATCTCAACAGTGCGGATCGCAAATGATTATCTTATGTATTTTTTTAAAAAAAGTACTAAGCCTTACAGCATCCCACGTGTTTCTCGGTAGTGAAGTAAATGAAAGACTAAAGCACAATGAAACACATTTACATTTTAAATGCTAAGCAGGTTAGCATAAACCAATTACTCCATCTTCATTTATGGGGGGGAAAAAAGTACACTTACAACACTTCTTCCGATTTGCTTCAACAACATTTACGTTTGTACTTTCCGGTTCCCTGCTCTCCGGCTGCATCATGGGTAATGTAGTCCATAAACAATGCGTCGCTCTATTTCTTCCTTCAAGAACTCTGTGGAAATTAAAGTAAACTTGGCATTTTGAAAACCTTAAATAAAAATGTTAAAGAATTAGAACTTTTCATAGAAGAGCCTTTTTGAAAACTAAAGCAAACTATAATTAAAGGACAACGGTGCAGCCAGTTCTTGCTTGTTAAAGCCAAATAGAATTGCATAGCCACAGTTGGGCCCAGAAATCACAGTCCTTAAATATTCCCTCAGGCTGTGAGAGGCAACTTACTTTCTCTCTCCCTCCTACTAATTTAAGAGAAGTTAAGAGATACAGAGCTGTCAACCTATGAGTCAGTGCCAAAAAGAAAACCTCTGAGTTGTCCATGTAGCAGGTTCTCCTCTGTAACGTCTTGATTGTAGATTTCAAGCGTTCAATGACTCTAAGGCAGAGACAGACAAGTGTGCTATCTGAGTAGCAGAAGGGTGATATTCATTCTATTATGATGAGGACTTGGAGTCCTTGAATTTCTTTGGAATAAAACAGACCCAGACATCTTGGTCTTTCTTGGGCAACCAGGACAAAGGTTTTAGGTTTGGCACTTAGGTGCCTTTTTGCTGTACTTCTAACCTCATGAAGTGGGGACATTGGTCCCTATTCAACAGGCATAATGTTATCACCAAGATCCCCATGACATCCACTTTTCCTGTACATGCCTTGTCCCTGTCCTGGCTCAAGGAAAGTGAATTTTACATATGCATCAGAAACAGGCTTAAAGCACTGAATAATTAAAGTTCAGAGAAACTGGACCTTGCTGTCTTCTCTTCCTATGGTGATTTCAATAGACATTTTAATCCAATATCCCAAATAAAATGGGCTGTAGAAGGATGCCTTAAGACTCAACAAATAGTACAGTTAATGCTCAAGGGTTCACAGTATGCCTTCTGTATATCAGGAGTCATAGGCTCTGACCTGTCACCCCACTTCACAGCAGAGCAATGGCAGCTCATTGTAGCACAGCTATTCTGTTCCAAGAACAATGGTGTCTCTTTCTGTTTTCATTCCAGCCTTTAACATGGTAAACCAGCTGTTTAGTTGTTCAAGTAGATTGATTTATTACCATAACCCTGCTCTTCAGGTGCTGCTGCTTTAAAGAGACCTTAAAAAACCTGCGGACGCACCAGGTCTCCAGGACCAGGAGAGCCCACCCCATGCTAGTACTGTATATATAGTGGATAAAAAAATATTAGGTTGAAATAGTATGATGTACACACTAATTTGTACATTTGTAAATGATCTAAAGTCTATTACATTAGCACTCCATTAATTACATCACCACAGTTTGAACAATCTTCCCCTTTCTATACTCTCTACTCTCAGTCCATTAACCAGTTCTTAATCCCAAAACTGAAGTTTCCCCAAATGCAACTAACTTTTAATTTGAGAATTTATTTTTATGGAAAACTTTTATCAAAAGCCTTTTGTACATCATAAAGTAAATCATACAGCCTGCTTTACTGTTGTTGCTTATTCAAGAACAAAGCGCTTAGGCAAATACTTTTTACCTTCTTTAACTTGGTTCAATTTTGTCGTCCTTTGTACTGCCAGGCACTGTATTCACACTTTTTTGTCTTATTCCACTAGATATTATCATAAAGCAGTACATTTTAGTGTGTGTATAATATCCACCAACTTGAGTTCCAATGCCTTGCAAAGTCAGATTTAGTAATTTCAGTACATTACAGTATATCATGCAGCCACATTTGAATGAATTTATTTTATCATCAAAAATCTGAGATGTGAATAAATATAATTTTAAAACTAAAAAGGAGTGTCTGTTGTTTCAACCAATTTTATTTTTTGCACGGATAGCTTTTAAGGCGTAGTCCTGCAGGTATGCTGACAATGCATAGCTTTTTTGCTATTAAGACAGGCTGGGTGTGATGCGTACCTGAACAGTGAGAGGGCAGTATGTGCAAGGTTGCAAAAATGAGATTTCCCCTCCCATCCTGGGGTTGAATAGTAATCAGGCTCCGTGTTGTCAGCCATGTTGTTGGTGTAATACTACAGTGCTGCTTCTAGCAAGCAACAGGTACAAGACTGAAGCACGTTTTCTGGAAATAAACATTGAGTCTCACGTCTAATTACTTATTTTGACCGAGAACATTTGTTGATAATGGAGATTTTCCAGAGTCGGGATTAAAACAAATCCAAAATATTTTTGGTGTCCTTCCACGAAAAGTAAGTAAATTTAAGAATTATGAATACTTCATTATACATATACAATATGTATATAAATTATTTTACCAAGGAACATATTCTATGTATATATAAACATAAACATAGTTTGGTGCTGGAATTTTATCAGTAAGTAATGTAATTAAAGCTTTAAAATTGAAACTTGTCGGTTACATTGAAAGCGAGGATGTAAACAAGCACGAATACATAGGATTTTTTTAATCTAGTGTTATAAGAAACAGGATTACTTGATATATTGGGGTTTATGTTCTGAATCATTTATTGTGGTTGCAGCAGTAAAGAAATACATATTTGAAAATTTCCTTTTCAGGACTCGCTTGGCAGGTTGTTGCGAATTTAAAGCAAGTGTCTTGCAGCAGTAGGCAAAGGAATGAAACTTCATTGCACTGGTTTCACTGCTTTATATAAGGAATTTAATGAATTTCATGACTTTAAGAAATAATTTGAATAATGATTTTCAATTTTTAGAAACATTTACACACTGTTTTATTGCACTTCTGATGTATGGGTTGTTTTTCTTTTCTTTTTGGAGATTGAATTGTCTTTCATCTATGTTAAAATGTTAAGAAAAAGTGGTCTACATGTTTCGAACCACTTTTCTTAAGCAGTTTTTTCGTGTTTAGAGCGTCAGTACAAGAACCCTCACAATTGTAACACGATGAATACTAGGAAATTAAACAATGATAAAGTAATTTGAGTCTAGTGAGTCACTTGAAGGGCATTTGTTCAATTAATGCAGGAATGTACTGTATATAGTGGCAAAATCGACCAGGTTCTTGCATTTTTTTAAAACGTTTTACAGTGAACAGTGAAAAGCAGTTTGATTATCTGGACGTTTTGTTACTTTGAAATCACTTGCTTTCTAACAGGAAACTTTTGATTCTTCCTGGCAAGCTGTGCGAGAAAAAAAAAATCAAAATGAAGACTCATTCGGTTTTTCATTAATGGATCCCATCCTCCCCCTTTTCCTTATTTGACTAAGAGAATCTCGGGTCAGAGATAAAAATAGAATATTCATGAATCTAGTTTGTTGTGTCCCTGCACGGATGACATTTAGATGCACTATACAGTCCTCTTCAATAAGGGGTGGGTGGAAAAGACTCTATTACTATTTCTAAACTATTACTAGTGCTATTAGAAACTGCTATTGGCTTTGTGTTGTTTAATGCAAAAGAGGCTGAAACTGGTTCGAATATTTTAACACTTCACAAGACAGGTGTGTTGTCTTGGGCAGCTGGGCAGCTGGGGACTAAAAAAATTCAGTCATGGCTGAATTTTTTTAACTTCTGAACTTAATACAGTAATTTATCATGCAACACACAATGTTTTAAGTTCCTTGTGTTCCCCTTTTTAGAAAGCCAGAATAAAACAGTGCCTTCAATTATTAGTCTTGTTAGGTTCCTGCATCCTGTTCGTCAGTTGTCAGTTAAAGCGGTCATATCCGATGTTACACGTGGTCAGACCAGGATGTGTATGTGAATATAACCAATCTCTTATTTCTTTGTATCTTCGAGTATTTGAACATATTGGGGAGTTTAATTCAATAATTATTTTGTTACAGGATAACAGTCCACTTTGTTAATACTTTCATAACCTCAAGCCACAAGATGAGAAGGAATTTGCTGTAGATCTAGGATGATATTTTTCCTTTTTCTGCACTGTAATCCCTTTTGGTGTCTCTTTAAACCATCTTCCTTATGAATACAGAACAGTTAGAGTTTGTCTGTTTTGTGTAGGAGTTGTGGCAGCCAGAGAGTGAAGGAGGATGTGTATTTTGACTGATGAATTGCAGTGCGTAAAGGGGTGGATTTATATGATATGAGCATAAGCAACATTACAAATCTAAGGATGCCATTTGGCCCATCTAGCTAGTTTGTTTGCTAGTAGCTAACTCGGGTATTTTATCTAGCCATTTTTTGAGCTATTGGGTTCAACAACATGGTCTCTGGTTTCCAGATTCCCACAACCCTTTGTGTAATATGTGCCTAACATTTTCATTTGTAAGTGCCTGTCTCCTTAGTTTGCACTTGTATCATGTAGTCAATGTTTCACTGATGGCTCTGGTATATTGGTTTGACTTTGTCTGCACCTCAGAGAATTTTAGTTTATGCTGGCTGGTGACTTTCACTGGTGCTACGTGTATATGTGAATATTGTTGCAAGCCTGATGTTGTCACACATGACTTTCAGTTCTGTGGATGACGAATCTTCCCTCATTTTAATCCAAAGGGTGAGATAAGCAAATGAATCATTCTGTTTGTGAACAAGGAGGCATTACTGCGCTGAGAATAAACTACAGAAACTGACAACAGAACCTGCTCATGTTTGTTTCCTAGTAGCTGATTGGTCAAAGCATTTTTACTATCCATTTCTTTAAAGAAGCTAAGTTACTAACTTCAGTAGCATGGCTAGGTATCTTGTTCCAGACTACCACAACCCTCTGTGTAAGAAATGCTTCTTGTTCTTCGTTTTGAATTCTTATCTATCTAGTTTCCACTTGTCCACTGGTTCTTGTTTTGCTGTTGGTTCTCAAGAAGTCTGTTTTGTTGTCTTTGTCTGTGCCTCACATGATTTTGAAAACCTCAGTCGCATCAATCAGAATACAGTAAAAAAGAACACCAGAAGCAAAGAAAAATGGCAAAAACAATTTTATCTCCAAGGTGCTTTACATACTTACATGGCTGTAAGTGAGCAGCACTACATACAGTATTTCTTTTGTGTATCTTAATGTAATTTAATATTGAAAATTCTTGAGTTGCTTTGCTTTCATTTTCTGAATAGCTACTTCTGTAGCTCTGATTTGTGATTGTGTTTTTGAAGTCTTTGGTCCAATGATGCTAGAAAAATAATCATAATCACAAGAACTGGTCCTATACCCATTTGAACATGAGTGTGCCCCACAAAGATATTACTTAATAAAGTGCATTGAGCTGTCTTCTCCATAGGAATGACAGGTCATACTGAAAGTGATACTAATATAAAGATAATTGAAGATTATTGAAAGAACAGAATTAAATACAAAATTTCAGAACTCCAAAAATAGCCAATAAGGTCAGTAGGTTTTATGTGGGAGTGATTCCATGAGATTCATTTTAGAGAATGTAATAGAACACAAAAATAAGATATTGATTTTATATCTTCAGCTGAGATATAGTAATTTATCACAAGCAGGTAGTAACATACCCTGAAACAGATTGATTGATATTACTGCTCAGTGATCCAGCGAGTTGTCTGTAAGAATGTGACATTTTTATTAATGCAGGCAAACATGATTTTTAAACATGAACTGAAACTTATCCTCACACAGTTTGGCAAGTTTGGAATTGTAATCATGTTTCATGGAGTTTACTTTAGCATTGCCTGCATATTTAAAAAAAAAAATATTTAGCTATTTTAGCAACTTTTAGTCTCCACACTTTGTTTAAAGTAAACATATTTGAAAAAGATTTTTAGTTGTGTAATGCTGCAGATATGCAGTGATTTTTCTGTAGGACAAAATGCACTTTGCATAACATTTTCAAGGCTGGAATTCAGAGAGGAATACTGATTAGAATGGAAAACAACCAGTTCTACCAGATGTTTTCTCTCAGCATGTAGATCAGGTTTTCAGAGATGCAGGTTAAAGCTAATGTCTGCTTTGTTGGTGTTTGGGATCATTATTAAATGCTGACAGTGGTCTTTTAAACTTTTTTGTTTTTCTAACATTCTTTCAACTAGCTAAATAAATGCAAATGTAGGTATATATGCAACAGAAAAGCTAGCATTTAGCATTTGTTTGGAGAACAGGAATATGGTAACACACCTAATGGGAGTGTTTGCAGTGGATACATACTGTACATTGAAAATGGCACATTGCCCATACAATAACAGAAGAATCAATACAACTGGAAGCATTACAATTTAACATCAGGCATACTTTCTATTTAAATTCTATTGTTATATTATTAGTTTTGCCCTTTTACCAGAGGTGTTAATCTGACATGCACTTTAGTGGCATATGTCTTGAAGAAATTACACTGTATTCTCCTATTAAATGATTTGCAGCACAACATTAGTTTTATAATTTATTGTACTGTCAGTGTACTGTGATCAGCAGTATGTAATAACTGCACATCATACATAGCTTGGCTATATGTCTTCAGTCTTTATGATACCGAACTTGTAAGCTTTGAGTTTTCATTCATATTTTCATCTCTTTTTTTCAGAGCATTAATTTTTAATCTAACCAAGCCAACCTGTCTTTAGAAGGATATCATTAAAAGTGTGGAAGTTTTCAGAGTGTTGTATTTTTTTAAAAAAATATAGGAAATAATGAATAAAGCTACATGTGTATGCTTACTAGCCTGTGTTTTTTATTGTTAACTGAACTACTTGCCTTTAAATACATCTTTTACATCAATCAATTAGCCTGATTCAAGAAGCAAAGCTGCTCCGTGTGACTAATAAATTGTTTGGATAGGTTCCAGTGTTAATATTAATTATTTTATAATGCAAATATGTAATCATATTTCCCAGTTTTTGTCATCTCAAATTTAACAGCAGGTGTGCCCACAGAACATATTTTCTGAAACAGGCAGTGGGTAGATTTATTTAGGTCGATTATTTCACTTTTTGCCAAAATAAAACAATCATGCATTTAAAGTTCTGATGTACAGTGAAAACTATAGGACCATATAGTCTTTGGGTTTGCCCACACTGATGTAAGTGAAGGTGGAGAGAGAAGAAGTAGAAGTGAAAGCTGTAAATACTAGAATAACTAAAACACTGGTGACCTCAGTACAGACTTTGGAGATTTTGAGAGCCAGAGGGGAGCTAGTAAAGTAAAGGGACTCGTGGTCTGAGTGAAAGGAAACACTACGGTTTCTGTGTGTGGCCTGAATGCAGACATTGTATTGAATTTGGTTTGCTTTGCTTGAGAGCACTATTTTGTGATTAAGGGTGGCTTGGCAGTTCCTGTGTCTGCCTTAGAGCTCTTGAATCCTG